TATTGAATCTTATTATTTAGCGAGAAAGAAAGAGTTCCTCTAGCAAAATAGTCCAGATAGAAGCGAGGAAGGGTTGAGATAAAGGAGAAGAAATTAAAGCCAAGCTCGTGAAGAGTCAAAATTCGTTTACATTAAAAAGAAATATTTGTGAAGGTGAAGGACAAATGAATGCATTTCAAAGGTCAAAAGACGGACACTGTCGATGAATGAATATCAACTCACCACATATATGCTGGTGCAGTACTATAGCCTTATATATGCTGATGCATTACTATAGCCTTATATATGCTGATGCAGTACTATAGCCTTATATATTTAAACAAAAAAAAGTAAGTTATAAATGTAGTATGTAAATCTCAATAATATTCTAATGTTCTTTTTCATTTATGTTTCCTTTTTACTATGTTTTCTTTTTATTCTAAGTCTCCTTTTTATTATGTTTCCTTTTTATTCCAAATTTCATTTTTATTCTGTTTCCTTTTCATTATATGTTTCCTTTTTATTCCAAGGTTCATTTTATTGCTTCCTTTTCATGTTTCCTTTTTATTCCAAGGTTCATTTTTATACTGTTTCCTTTTTATTCCAAGTTTTATTTTTCTATACTTCCTTTTTATTCAAGGTTTTCTTTTTATTCTAGAATTGCTTTTTACTGTCTCCTTATTATTCCAAATTTTATTTTTATTCTATGTTTCCTTTTTATTCTGCTTTGTCAGAAGATCTCTGAGAATTCTACTTGTCCTCAAAAATCTGCTTTCAATTCCCAACTTCCATTTCTTATGTTTGCTCGTCTTGTACAAACAGACATTCGTTGTATCGCTTTCCATTTCGCTTGCTTCTATCGACAACCAAAACTATAGAAATTCCTACAAAGGTAGTAAGGAAAGAAAGGACGGGTAATTTGCTATTTAATCCCCGCGCTAAATATGTAATAAAAATTTGCCGAATAGTTATATTTAGGTGTAAATTTACATGCTTAATTCGAAAATAACAAAATTTTGATAAAATCTACCGTTTAGGAGTTATCGACAATAAAAATTCGAACTCATTCGCGTTATGGCACGGCAGCCATTACTGGCGTTGTTTGCATACATTCGCTGCTGATCAGATTTGCGCGAAAGATTACATTGTTAACGACCTTTTTAAGGTTCTTACTTGACTGAATTGCTGCGCAACTAAGGACTCACTGTGTGCTCAATAAAAAAAAAGATTATTCCGCAGCAAATATCTGCCAACAACGCAAGTAATGGCTGCCGCGACGCGAATGAGTTCGAAATTCTATTGTCGATAAGTCCAAAGCGGTAGATTTTATCAACATTTCTTTGTTATTTTCGAATTAAACATGTAAATTTACACCTAAATATAACTATTCGGCAATTTGTATTACCTATTTAGCGCTGGGTTTTAAAAAATTACCCGAAAGGACTAAACATCAATTGTTGTAAGAAGACAGAATATATGGTTGTCGGCAAGAGGAACAGTACAAGATGCGAATTACAAATTGGAAACGCCAAAATCAAGCTAGTGCGAAAATTTAAATATCTCGGAAGTGTTTTAACAGAGGACAAAAAATGTGACAAAAAAATCCGAAGGCGTATTGGAATTGCGTAAGACGCTTTCCAAAAGCTAAGTAAAGTAGTAAGAAACAGGAAAATTTCATTAGAAACAAAGAATTAAACTACAGGGGGAGGGTCCGAAAATCCTGTCTCTACCTACATAATATAATTTTCTATTTCAGATGGCTGACACAGTTTGGAAGAGATTGCTAGGGTGACAAGACTTTCGGACCACCCTGTACTATGTAATATCAGTCTTCCTCTGTGTGGATTATAAGAAGGTCCTGGGACGATGTCTGAATATAGACATTCGACTGTTTACCAAATAAATAATCTTTTTATATTCTACAGAACCTTTAGTTATTATGCAAAGTTAATACATAAATTGATCACAAGAATTGGGAAGTAGGGTTCTTGGATCTTTCCGCTGTAACGAGTATTTCTTTAGTCTGAGTCATCATCTTCCACCGTTCAAATTAACGATTAGTGAACGCGTTTTGTGTGTTCTTATTCATAAAATAAAAAAAAAACGACCTTGATTTGGCAGGATTTGAATTCGACGTAGACAAGGATGATTGAACCAACTACCAAAAACTTTCTTAAGTAGTGTCAGTGTTCCTGGTCATGGGCTATGACGAAAATTGCTTTCCAGATAAAACGTACGAAAAAGCTTTCCTAATCTCATGTGATTTAAAAGACTAAATTTAACTGGCTTCTGGTAGAAACGAACTCGATTGATCTTTCCAAGCGTTTATTTTCTTATTAGTATTCGCCGTAAAACACTGTAAAAAACTGAAATAAAACGAATATTACATAATATATTTCGTTGAGTCCTTTAGGTTATTTAAGAAACAAAAAGGTTGTTTTTATAAACAATATCAATACGTATTGCATTAAACTGGAGTAAATAGTTGTGTCATCTGCATATATAATGAGTCGAGAACTGATGATATCAGAAAGGTCGTTGATAAAAGTTATGAACAGAGTACGTCCAAGGATAGAGTCTTTCTTCTTGAAACTGAAGAAGTCTTGTGGAGTCTAGGGCCACATCCAAACTATGGTAGGTGGTACAGCTGTGGTTTCAACTGGTCTTAGGGGTTGGATTTACTCGTCCCATGTCCAACTGGTTTTGAGTTTAGAGTTTTCCTTCTATGCCAAATAAGGTTAGAGGGCTCAGTTTATCCTATTTAACCTATAAAATGGGAAAGAAAAAATATTGATTCATAATCTTTTTCAAGCGTATTTGTGAGAAAGTGAACGTAAATTTAAAGTAAACCATGAAGGAATTTTTCATGTGATAAAAGGCCGAGGTTTAAAATGGACTTAACGGCAATACTATGGAAAAATTGCTCAAACTGCCTGAGCACTTCCCCTTTTGGGGACGCCTCAGGCGCCGGGTTATGATATCAGCCTCTTCTGGAAGGAGGGGTGCCGCCTGGGAGGATGGCCTTCTGTGGCTTGGGCTAATATTATTTGGAAACTTTCCCGGTCGAAGCTAAGTAAAGTATGTAATTTACTAAGCGAAGCTTTATTGTGGCACAAATAAGGAGTACCTAGTGAGAATCAAGCTCACTACTCCGTCGTAATTGATAACACCACGTCGAAGTGCCCTCATGTCTCTGAAGATATATAAGTGTTTTTTTTTTTTTGACTGAGTTTACATTATCATTAAATTACCGTAATTCCCCATGTATAATACGCCTTCGCCCATAATACGCTCCCCTAAAATTGTGCTGAAAGTGTAGGAAAATGCTTCTATTCATGCATAATACGCACACCATTTGTTTGGTAATCAAACCCTATAAATTGTACTTCTCCAATTTCATTACGTCCAGCGTTTCCTTGTTTTATTTAAAAATGGTTTTGACCATACAATAATATTATTCTAATTTAGTTTTATGACAATTCTTATTTTACATTCGTAAGTATTGTTAGTTACATATTATTGTATTTGACATATTTATGAGGTCGCAATTGACGAATGTTAGTGTCAAATTGTCCTATGTTTGTGGTGAGTAGTCATTTCGCAACTGAAATCGACAAATGAAACGGCAATTTTTTAAAAATTTTTGTGTAGCTTCGCATAATAAGCACCCCTAATTTTGCTTATATTATTTTAGAAAAACTGCGTATTACACATGGGGAATTACGGTAACTGTTAAACCAATATTTCAAAATTTCCACCATCTTTACTGTCATGAATTTCTCACGAGATTTGCTCTATGCCTCAACTTGTTCGTTTCTTTCTTTCTATTTTTTTCCTTTTTTTTTTTCAGGTACTTTCGTGGAAGTAAAGAGTAATAAATCTCACCAACGGACCATTTTTTTCGGTTATTTACCTTTTTAAAAATTTATTTACTTTTTAAAACTACTAAATACGCGTTAACTTTATTTACAAAAATTTCAAACAGAGAATGTAAAAAAAAGCATATCCGAAAACTAAACTTTTAAATAAGATCTGATCGACAAACTATGTGAATGATATTGTTAATATTTCGATGTTTATTCCCATCACCCCCATACTAATGACATGCCAGTATATTTTGACAAGTACTTTCTTCATTTATGCAAATGAGCGTGTAAGTATATATATTGCCGCTTGTGTATACTAGGCTCATTTGGAAACTGGAGTGGTTATTTGTCTCATTTCAACGGATAAGTAAAACAGTCAAATAACTTACTGTGTCTAATTCTGATTAATTTCTCTAAAGGGGCGCCGGCTGGATATTGGGTTTAGGTTTAAAAAGAAAACTGCATCTTATAACGGAGAACGGAAACGAGCAGTGAGGACCACCCTTTATCCTAGCCTAATACAAACACAGAAAAGAAAAATAGGGGTTTAGTTGAAGACACTATAAATTACAGACGAAACGTTTGTTTTAAGAGCGCTAACTTTTTTTTAGTCTTTTCTTTTGTTATTTTCTTTAAGTGAAAAATGACAGTTAAAAGAATGGAAACTGATTGAATTTAAAAGGCTATCAGGGTATTCGGGTGTCCAGGGGTTGGATAATTCGTTTGACGTTACGCCTTTGAGAGTCAAAAAAAAAATAGTTCTTGTCGGTAGAAGTCAAAGGGGGTTCAGCTCCGAACTAAAGGTTGTGATATCATTAAACGCTGATGTGGTTAAAGGTTGGCACTGTTGTGCTTGGGGGTGACAACGTGATGTAAAGGATTCTATTGTACGTTTTGGTGTAGCAGGACATGTGGTGAGGCATGGGCGTGGAAGCAAGCGAACGAAGATTGCAACTTCAAAGAAAAGAGAAATATCTATGTATTGGATTGGGCAGATGGCCTGACAGGTGTAAGACATTGTGTATGAAAAGGTGCGTGTACGTGTACGTGTGTGGGCGGGAAAGAAAGAAAGATTAAGGAAATCACTATTCGACCGTTACGTTAGATTTATAAAATGATGTAAAGAGATAATCTGAAGTAGACAAATATAAAGACAAAGATAGATGGATAGATATGAAGAGACTTAGATAGACAGAAACAGGTTGAGATAGATAGATAGATAGATAGATAGATAGATAGATAGATAGATAGATAGATAGATAGATAGATAGATAGATAAAAAAGACTGGGATAAGCTAAGTAAAAGCAAATATACATTTTAGTTCCAATTGTAAATATCAGCTTACAATTTAAACTCAAAGTATGTTCATATCGACATAAAATAAATTTCTTTGTTCTAAGCAGACATCAATGTATTCACATGATATTATGTGGTATTAAAAGTTTTCCATCTCTGCATGATTTCGTAAGAAAAATTCGATGCGTCCAGCCAACACTAGTTAAAAATAACTCGAGAACATATATATATATATATATATATATATATATATATATATATATATATATATATATTATGAAATGGACAAAGTCGACAATTATTTTAAGACATTTTATGTTTATACATTCTTTTTATAGATACAAATATTTAAGTAAATGCTCTGTTTATAATAAACAGTATTAAACATTTACCGGCCTGAATGTCCGAGAATTTTTTTCGGAGGACGAATATTTTCTGTGAAAATTTCTCGGACATTCAGTCCGGCAAATGTTGTTTAATACTGTTTATTATAAACAGAGCATTTACTTAAATATTTATATATATAAAAAGAATGTATAAACATAAAAATGTCTTAAAATATATATATATATATATATATATCAAAATACATTTACAATTTATGATTTTAAGATGGAAAATACATAATAACTTCACTTTAGCTTTTTATTCTGAAATCATGTACATCATAATAGGTTGAGTAATGAAATTCCTTGAAAAATAAAACCCTTAGCGAACGCATAATAATTAATTCGAGAGAATAGCGTTCAGGGCAATCATACACTTTAAGTGGGATGAATAAAACGAGCCGTTTTAAATATATAGAGAGACTAATAAATGGCTACTGGTCATGAAATTAGATCTTTTATTCTGACACCCTGGTAATTAGAAACCAAGAAGTTATTATTTCATCGTTCAGCTCCAGAATACCAGCTTCACCGACCTTCTTCTAAGAAATGTAGGTTTAGAGTTAATGCCGGAGACGTCCCCAAAGAAAATTCCGAGGTTAGCTTGGTACTTTTATTTTGTTTTCGATCTTATGTCCCATATTAAGACGTTGTCTCCTAGACCTAAATCCTCCTCATAGCAAATGGTTGAGTAAATACAGTGGGATTAGATCAGATTAAATTCAGATCTGTTTCATATTTTACCAGTAAAAGAAATAAAGTGTTGTATTTGCTTGTTCTGGAGTGTGTTCATCAAGTGTAGCATTTACACGATTCAACTATCTACAGCATACGGCGTCAATTACGTAAAATTGATTAAAAGACTCAACTTACAGCGAATTACCATAAGAGCAACGGAGGACAATTCTAGGAACTAAATGATTAGACAATAAACCATGGATTAAAAGAGAAAAGGAAAGAAGTGTGAATATCTTCTTATTGCGCGTTGAGTCCAATTTTGGAAACACCTTAGAATAATCCAGATTATTAACTAAAATAAAAAATAGATGGAGGGGTAAGTAAAGGATGAGCCTTCTTACAGGATTTATTTAACCTTTACAGCGCGGTGATCCTAATAGAACTAGAAGTACTACCAGGATTTATTATTTTGGAGAAGTTTTAAAATATAAGAAATGCATATGATACTGTATTGATGGCAGACACAAAAAGAAAATTTCATGAACTCCTAGACGAGATAGTCCTTTTTTCCTGGCTTTCTTTACTATCAATTGTAAGAAGACAGAATGTGTAGCCGTGAACTAGCGGAACAACCCAAGACACAAGCTATAAATTGGAGATATCAGAATCAAGCAAGTACATAAATTTAACTATCGGAAAAGGCTTACAACAAACAATGGAGAATGTGACACTGAAATCTGAAGGCGCATATAAATAGTGAAAAATGCCTTCGAAAATCTAAGCAAGATATTAATAAACTAAACAGTGCTCAACTGCCATGTAAGATCAATCCTTCTATATGACGCCGAATACTGGACAGTTTCCTTATAGAAGAAGTGGAAACAAGGCAACAGAGTTGTAGTTCTACAGAACGATGCTAAGAATACCATAAACGGGGCAAATGAGCAACGAAAAAGATTTAAGGAAAATGGGAAAAAAAGACGCTTTTTCTTAATATCAGAAAAAACTGTTGAAATTTCTAGGGTGCAAAATGGGGAAAGAGGGCTTGGAGAATTTGACATTCACTGGATATAATGAAGGCAGGTGAAATAGAAAGAAATATCGAGTAACCTACTTAACGAACATGTGTAAATGAATGGCAGAACAGCAACGGGTGTAATAAGGCAATAAACTCTGCTTAAAGCTACGAAAGATAGAAAGCTGTGGAGTGTCATGATCACCCATGTTCTGAAGGGACAGATAAAACAAGAGCCAAACAAGGTATTTTATGCTCATAGATTTTCATACCAGAAAAACAATTTTCTGAATATTCAATTATATATAGGTTTTATCATTTTATAACGTGACAAATGTAATCTCCAAGGGCAAACTGTGAAGGGCAAATTAAGTGCCGAGTTTCCCAAAACAAATTATGATAAACAGTAAGTTTTTTTTTTAAAGAAGCTTAGAAAAATATATCAAAAATATTTACATTCTAAAATTACGAATAAAAAAACTCAGTCACAGTTTTAGTGAACTTAACTTATGGTCTAGATGTATTTCTAAGTATAAAGAAAAATAGAGGCTAAACACAATTATACTTAGAATCAGAAAGAGACTTTTGAAATTTCTAGGAATGACAGAAATCAGAAAGAGACTTTTGAAATTTCTAGGAATGAGGAAAGAAAGCTTGGAGAATTTGACACTTGAAGGCAAGAGGGACAGAGGAGAGACAACGATTAACCTAACAAGTTTCTGTGAATAAATGGCAGAACAGGGACTGCAGGTGATGGTGAAACGGACAAAAAAAAAGGATAGGAAAGTGTGGAGATCGGTGATTGTCTCACATTCTGAAGAGACACGGCACGCAAGAAGAAGAAGAAAAAGAAGAAGAAGGAGGAGGAGGACGACGACGAAACATTTGAAAATGATTTTGTTCAGGTAACTTCCAAAAAGATTTTACTACACACAAGTGTTCATTGTTATACTTAAGTTATGAGGTAAGTCGAATTAAATTTTTCACCATTTCTCTTTTACATTCTTTTGTCTGGCTGTAAATACTCAAGAATCAATAAATAAATAAATAAATATGAATAGACAGATAATATAGATAGATAGATAGATAGATAGATAGATAGATAGATAGATAGATATCAATAAACTGAGATAGATAGATAGATAGATAGATAGATAGATAGATAGATAGATAGATAGATAGATAGATATCAATAAACTGAGATAGATAGATAGATAGATAGATAGATAGATAGATAGATAGATAGATAGATATCAATAAACTGAGATAGATAGATAGATAGATAGATAGATAGATAGATAGATAGATAGATAGATAGATCTGAGTATCTAAATTACACCAGAGTGATTTTCTAACAAGAATGTAGATATTAACTGACTTATATCGATATTCATTTCTTTAAGCTGGTTATCACGTTTTATCTTCTGATTTCTTCAACTTACAATTTCTGCTATTTCCTTTCCCCTTTCTCTCTCTCTCTCATTCTCTCTCTCTCTCTCTCTCTCTCTCTCTCTCTCTCTCTCTCTTAAATCCATTTTCTTCAGCTGTCACTTCCTTATTACTCCCTTTCCTTACACTACTCTATTCTCCTCCAGATGTCCATATTCAAGGTTACCATGAATATGTCAACCTGACCGAGGCATTTTTAATAAACGTTTTTACACGCCATTTTTTTATTCATCCACTTCTTTCTTTCTTTCTCATTTTTATTTCATTTTCTTTTCTTTTTTAGGGACGGATAATTTTATATATATATATATATATATATATATATATATATATATATAATCATTTTCTTTTCCGTTCTCAAATTATGCAATTGGATGCATTTCCTGCCGCAGAGGAAATGGAACGCTCCAATTTTAATTCTACGCTAAAGACATTTCCGTAGAGTTATCTTTCCTTGAATATTGGTTCGGTCGGCCGAAGAGGAGAAAGTGGAGAGAAGAAAATAGGAGTAAACCTTTTACAGTTGAACACGTCGACCTCCTGTATCCTTCGTCCTTTTTTGCTTGCCTGCCTGCCTCTCTCCCTCTCCCTCTTCCCCCTCTCCCTCTTCCCCCTCTCACTCTCCCTCTCTCTCTCTCTCTCTCTCTCTCCCTCCCTCTTTCTCTCTCTCTCTCTCCGCTATAATGATGTGAGATCACGTGTCCTGAAATAATTCGGAGAGAAGTGGAGAGGGTCACGTGCCGGACACGTCATCTGGAAAAATGTTCGAGTTGGCTGATCCACGATAGACTCGCAGAAGAAAGCGTAACTTTTATTTTATTTTATTTCAGAAACAGAGGTGGCGGGGGGAATGAAGGGAGTAATTGCATGAAGAAGTTAGAGATAGTTGAAAAATGGTAAGAACACTCAGAGAAAAAAAAAAAAGGAAAAACAAAAATAGAAGAAGAAGTGAAGAAAAAGTAGTGAGAGGGATGATAAAATTTTTTTTTTTTTTAATTTGAAAGAAGAAAAACCGAGAATATGTTAATCATAAATTTATAAAGTCTTAGAAAAGGAAAAGAAAGAAAGAACTAAAGAAAGAATACAAGAACAGTGAAGAAAAAGAGATTTCGAGCAGAATTTTAACTTTATTTAATCGAAATGTTACAATTAACCAAATTTTAAATATGGTTCAGTCAGTTATGTGCCATACGGGATAAACGCTTGGGCGATCATATATCTTTCGATAAATGACTGACCTGACGAGGCAGAAGATTTTTCCCGCAGTAAGTTGCCATTTCTTTCTGCGGTAGACCAACGAAGGCTAAAGAACCCACTCTGTCCAGCTATTAAACCCATAGCTGGGGGGGAGAAGAGATGGATTTATACCTTTCTCAAAGGTATTTGTGCGTAAGTGAATCTGACGAACTCGAATTCAAACTCGGTTCTCAGAGTTCTCACTCCGAGCCGACACCACAACGCACATATCATGGATACATATATCACATAAATATGATTACATATATCATATTTAGAACACTTGCCAAATTGAAGATTACTTTCTAGCCAAGCAGAGTACAACAGTCACGTGACCATACGCCAAAGCGTTCTTCGTCCAACAGATAGTTTTGTTTTTGTGTCTTGTCATTTCATCGTGTTTTTTCTATATCACAACACTTAGGTCGTTTTCAAACATAGAGGACGTTACGCATGCAACATAGATTAGAAACAAAGCAACAAAAAAAAAATCTTCTGGGAAGAATTGAACTTGCATCTCCTAAAAAACCACGACAACGTTTTACTGATAAGACGCTGTTCCACACGAAAGCGCTGAATATTTAATGTTCGAATAACAATAAGTAACTGAGTCTAAAAACAACATAAATGTTGTGACGTAAAAAACAGCAACAAACATAAAATGAAAGGAAAAAAAACTAAAAAAAAAATTAATAAAAATGTTATATATATATATATATATATATATATATGTGTGTGTGTGTGTGTATGTGTGTGTGTGTGCGTGTGTGTGTGTGTGTATGTGTGTATTTAGGCAGCAATCCTTCATTTATATATGTTCCATTAAAGACGACAAACAGGGTACTGCGATTAAACATTTTATTTCATTTTTCTTATGTTCAAACAAGTGTTTTCTTTTCTGGACACAGAGTGTGTAGAAACTGTCGAAATAATTCCGAGCGCTTTCGGCTATACATTTAGCCATTATCAAGGATGATTTTATTTTATATCATCCTTGATAATGGTTAAAGGTATAGCCGAAAGCTCTTGGAATTACAGAATATTTGTACAGTTTCTACACACTTTGTGTCCTGAAAAAAAAACACTAGTTTGAACACAAAGAAAATGAAATAAAAACTTAATCGCAGTACTTGTTTGTAGTCTTTAATGAAACATGTATAAACGAAGGATTGCTGCCTAAATGCACAATCATACACACACACACACACATATATATATATATATATATATATATATATATATATATATATATATATAAGAAGAAGAATTTTTAGAATGGACTTTTTTAATATGACAGATTTTTATCACTTTAAATGTTATTTTTAGTGGATACTAGTATTTGATTAGACGCTCGGTTTATTTATTAAACAGTATATTTATTTATTTTCGTCTATCGACCTGAATATTTGAGAAATCTTATTAAAGAAAAATTTACGCTCTCTAGCAGTATTCGAACATGCGACCCTCTGGAAGGACGGAGCTCCCGTTAAATCCGATACTGTTTAATAAATAGATAGTTTCCTATCCAAACGTAATTTGGATACGAAACTGTTGGCAAATCTATAACGAAGACGTTTCATTTAAGGGTACAATTCGGGCATTATCTGACTAGCTGGTTCTTTGTACCTCTGTTACTCTGAACGTATCGGATTTAATGTTAGTTCTCTTTGCACAAACAGAACCCTGTCCGAGAACATCATTTTTTCTTTAATAAGACTTTTCGAACATTCAGTTCCGTAGACAAAAATAAATAAACGAGTATCCACTAAAAAAATAACGTTTAAGTGATATATGTATGTATGTATGTATGTATGTGTGTGTATATATATATAGAGACAGAGAGACAGAGAGAGAGAGAGAAATACACAAATTTTTAAAAACTTTCTTTAGGTTTTTAGCATATTTTAATATATTGAGTAAAGAAATTCCTTGAAAAATAAAACCCTTAGCGAATACGTATTAATTTTATTCGAGAGAATAGCGTTCAGGGCGATCATACACTTTAACTAATGTAAATAAAACGAGTCGTTGTAAACGTATAGAGACGATTAAATTGCTACTGGTGATGAGATTAGGTCTTTTCTTCTTAGACACTGGTTATTCGGGGCCAAGGAGTTATTATTTCATCGTGCAGCTCCAGGCATCACTTTACCATTTCTTTAAGAGGTGTAGAGTAAGAGTTAATACCGGAGACGTCAAAAAGGAAAGTTCCCAGCAGTGGTGGCTCGTGTATAGGCAATGCGGAACTTCAGCACTTCCTATTTTTAGTCTATATTATTGATGACATTCAATTAATGAGAATTTTTTCTTTCTTTCCTTGTACTGGTACATTATATAACCCATAAGCTTAATATCAGTAGCCATCCCTTCGTTCATGAAAAATTACAAAAATCCTTGTATGGAAGTGTGTACATCACAGTTCCAGTAATGCGTTTGTTTAGCTGTTTTAAGAATTTTAGGGACGAATAGTGCATCAGCTTACCGTTTCTCTAAGAGGTGTAGAATTAAGGTTAATCCCGAAGACGTCCCAAAATAAAATTCTGAGGGAGGTGAGAAGCTTTTGTTTGCGACCTTACACCCCCTTCAGATTCTCCCATATTAAGACCTTGTCTCATATCTTACCACCGTGAATAGTTGAGTAAACGAGATAGACAAATGCGCGATATTTTTAAATACGCAACCTAGGACTTTAACCTTAAATTGCTTAAATTTTCCCTGAGTATTAGTAGTATATTGCTATAGTATATTGTTCCACGTCCTGCTTTAGGGACTGAACTCACGAGATAACAACAACACATGTCTAACCAACGCTCATAGATACTATTCTCCAAAGCACATAAGTGTCTTATTTTTGAGAACTTTAAATCAAATGTTACATGCTTTCGACATTTGCTTATCACGGCTGATTCGTAGCGCTTTCGATAATTTTGTTTTGATTTTAGATGTGGGATTATATGTATATTTTGAACTATGACACCTGAAGATGGTCAGAATGTACTTGGCCGAAACGCTGTATCTATAATCAAATCTAGAGCAACCAAAGATAAGAACAACAGTATATGCCCAATTCTTCACCTCAAAAGTCAATACAAAATCATATGTTTAATGTGGATTAAATAGAACGTAATCAACGAATACCCTCAAACCTTTGAACTGTAGTGTATATAGAAATGTTCTTACTCGTAAGTACAGTGTCTGTAAGTCCTATTAAAGATGTTGAGAGACTTATGCTGGAGAAGAGCTTCTTGTTGATTTGGTAGTTATCAGTGTATGATATTTGTATGCTGTTGTGTACAAAGCGACACGTGGTTTGCTGGGGATTAAGTAGTCTCCTGGAGGAGAAATATAATGCGCCTTGTCCCTACATCATCTTGTGCATAGAGCGAGAACGGAGAGTGATGATGAGCCCTTTTTTTTTCATATACTACTTTAAACAACGCCACAAGCGGTTCTTAGAAGTTCCTTGGCTGACAATTGATATGCGGGTGGTGTAATGGATACAGGTTCAGAATAAGAAATCAGAAAACCGAGTTCGAATTTCAGTTGGGTTTGTTATATTCACTTACGCGCAAATATCCTTGTGAAAGCCATCTCCTCCCCTTGGCTATTGATTGAATAGTAGGTATTCTATCTGGAAAAAAACATTGTTATTCTCAAAAATTCTTGTATAAAACAATTAAACTATATACAAGTCCTACAAAGGGAGTCA